TCTTCTATGTGGGCTTTGTTGCTTCTGAGCTGGATGACCGCTTGTTTGCCTTCAAGCCTTTAAGACCCCAGATGCTATGTCTTTTAATAGCCATTTTATTGGCTCTGGAACATCAGAATGAGATCAGGAGAAAAAAACCCTGTCTTTTGACTATGACACAACCCTTCATGCTCATGTAGAGGCAGTGTCTCATGGTTGCGCGAAGGAGCACAGGAGAGCTGTTCTTGCTGGGTTATTTCTTCTTTGCTTGTCTCTCACTCACATTCCTTTTCTCTCTCTTTCCTGGTTGACTTTAAGTGAAGATCTACTTCATGCGTTGTGTCTGTTTCTGCTTTTGTGTGTGAGGTTGATGGTGAGGAGGGGAGGAATTCAGTGAATTGTGTATTCCAAATATGCATTGTGGCCAAGCTCTGGGATATTCTGGTTCATGGAGGGTTATTGGATTCACAGTGTCATGGTTCCATGTATCCCATTTGAAAAACTCACTGCACGTGGTGTTAGCATGATTATGTTTACACATCTTTTCCACTTTACTGGGTGTGAACATATTGATGACCTTCACTTATATTTCTCCCCCCAATAACATCAAACAGATGCTCTTAAGCACCCGAGGAGCCTAAGATAAGCCTTGTGCTGGGAGAACTTGTCTGCAGCTATCCACAGATTGCAGAGACATGTTTAAACATGCTTTGTTTGAAATAAACTTGAATCCTAGTAGCAATACTTGTATAGTAGGATGACCTTAGCACACAATTTTAAATAGGCAAAAAATACCAGGTATTATTTATGAACGCAGAGTTTGTATACAAAGTATAACCGCAGAAGCATTAGTATAATTCCAGGGGACACTATCCTCTTCCAAAATTCTTAAAATATATACTAGAGAGAAACATCCAGGCCCCCCTTGGGGGATGGGGGAGGAGGGGGGGGGGAAATGGGGAACGGGAGCTACTCTTGAAATAAAAAGGGACACTAACAAGGATAGGGAGAGACATATATAAAAGCCTTATTTACTTAAAATATTTATGATTATGTACACATTTGAAGAAAATGGTAAAGTTTCACAAGCTATGAGGGAGATACACAAATATTACATTATTCTCTGTACTTGACATATTTCCTAATGTATTAATTCTAATAGCATGTTATAAGAAAAATAACGAAAATTTCTTGGTTTCAGAAATAAAGTGGTAAATATAATCATGTCTGCCTGTTGATAAATACAAAAATAAAATATTCTGTGTTTGCAAATAACATAGAAAAGGTTTAGCTACACTAAACCCTTTCCTAAGATAAAAGGAACATATATAATATTATATTCAAGTCATTTGGGATGCCTCAAGGAATAAAGAGAGACTGCAGTGACCTCTAAGCAAGATGAACTTACTCTGGGAGCAGAAGCCCAAGTTGAAGACCAAATCACTTCCCCAAATCCCGACAAGCAGCAAACTCCCAAATAGCAGCAGATAACTAGATTTTCTATCTCAATACGAATAAAATCATCTTCTATACTCGGCTGCTAAAACCAAACCAGATATTTACAGTTAGCATACCAAAATGTCCATCCCAGGAACATAGTTGAGGGCTATCTTGTAGTCTTTCGGAAGATTTGCCACCTATAGAGAACAAAACAGAAACAAAGCAAGAATTCCGTAAGACAAAAATGCATTCACATTAATTTATCATAGTTTTTTTTCTTTTTCATTTTTATACCAGTTGGGGGGGGGGGGATCTCACGCAAACAGTGACCGTGACTAATATCACTAGGAAACGTCACATTTGAGACGCACTCTTCTACACCAATCATAGAAAACAAAAACGGAGAAGAGGAAGATTTGGGAGGTGGAATGGTATGTGTGTTATGCAAATGTTTCCTAACTACAAGAAGTGATGCAAACACACTACAGCTATAACACATTTTCATGACACAACTTAATCCACTTAGCTGGGGCTCTATGACCTTTTGAATATTTGAGATACCTCCAATGTTTGCCTGGCTGCTCTTAAAAGCTTAAAAAACACAATCAAATAAACTAACATGTCCATTAGTCATTGTAGCAGAGGTGAACAGGACCAGGTCTGGAATCTGAGAATTTGGATTAAATAGAACCTCTTTTATTCTTCAGTTTCCCTCACCTGTAAAAGGGAGGCAAGAGAACCTATATCAAATGGTCATTGCAGTGACAAATAAAAGATACTCCAACCAGGCACTTTTCCTGCATCTTCATTCTCCTTCTTCTTTCAGGAGACTGTTAACATTCCTAGCTGCCTAACACAGGCAACAACTCACCTCTCGGATTGTAAATCAGTGTTGCGTTATACTGCCTCTGACCAGTCTATTCATTTTGAAGACTCCGCCTTTCTTCTTCAGTCTCTGTTGCTAACAACTTGACTGTCCCTTGTCATCAACAGTGCATGCTCCTGAGACGGGGTCATTTCCGACAAGTCTCCCTTAGCATTTTATAAAGGGATTTCATGTGGATCTTGCCAAGAGCTTCTAGAACCTGACAACATTTGATGAGCCCAGAATCCAGGCAAAGGCACTCACAGTCAGAAGGGGGCCAAGGTAATAACCCACTCCACTGGGCTCCCTAGGCCTGACCTGCCAGGGTACCACCCCACCGGCACTCGCTCCTCTCGCTCCCACGAGGAGCAAACGGCTTGCTCGTCTTCCAGTTTATTTGATCTTAATGGTAGCAGAGCCTTCTTTGCCTCTTTACCCCCTTAACATTTTTATTTGCTCTCTGGACCCTTGTCCTGGGTGTTTCCCTCACATTGAGTCTCTAACATCAGGTCTCCTCATACTGTCCCCCATCAAACAGTAGAATTCCCGTTCCCTATGAAACACACAGTTGCGCTGTGGGGGAAGGCCCTTCTCACTCCATTTCATTTACTTCAGAGCTACTCGCTTGCTCCTTACACCCCCATGTCCTCTTTCTTGGCCAGACTCCCACCACGCCTCCACGGTTTCTTGTGTTCTGGCTCTTCGTCTGCATCTTTAAAACAAGCCCCACCATGCCAGTCATTTTATAACCTGTGCTCAGAGTCAGAGAGAGCAGCAGAGACACAGTAGAAAACCTGTGCCGTCTGAAAGCTGGCGTTGTGAGACTCACCAGCAATGCTTTTGTTTTGTTGTTGTTCTGTTTTGTAAGGAACCATCCTTGTAAATTAAGGATTCCAGATGGAGAAAACATGGGAAGACGTGAAAGGAATTCTGAGCACAAACTAGGTGATAATCTAGCGTCTTTCTAAATACTGTCTACAGTATAAATGCAAATACAGAATTGGTTGAATCAGAATTAAGAAAACTGAAGATCAGGGTATATATCTAAAGAACAGAGAAAATGTTGTTAGCGATATGGTGTTCAATTCCATTTTACTAATAATTTATTTTGGAAATGGGTTCAAGGAAATGGAAGAAAGTTTATAAAAAGTTCCTTGACAAAGATACTGACATCAGCACACCTCACCCATTGGAAGAATGTATACAAGGCCATGTCTGCATTAAGTTTATTTGTTATGACTTAATTCCTGATGTGATTGGAAAACAGCAATATTTTTGAAAAACAGCTCACGATTTATAAGAAGTTGTCATATACAGTCTCCACCACAATTCTGTAAGGTTCCTCCTACTGCCAGGGCTTGATTCAAGTCCCTAGTAAGAAGTTCATTTTGTAGAGGAGGACGGAGAGGCTCCGGGTGGGCACAAGTGTCAGAAGCAAATGGTGCTACAGAAGCAAACCCTGGCGCTGGGAGCTGTGCTCAGCATAGTCATCTACAAACCAGTCTTCCCTTTATTACTTTGTTGGCTTTCATTGTGTTTTTTTAAACAAGTACTTTTGGAATGGACTTCCAGAAATCAAGCTGTACATTTTTATGGTCATTTTGTTAATGATTATGCTACTTTCTAAGCATTTGTATTAAGTGGACTAGCATTCAGAAGACAGATAACCTTGTGATAAATTCCTCTCCTCTTGATCATTGGAGAAAGTTTTATAGAGAACCTTTGGCCAGACAGTTGGAAGGAATTCATTAGAAGCAGTTAGTTTGATTGAGGAAGCAGGCACACCTTGGAATCCTGGCCTAAATGCCAGCTAACAAAGAGTTATTGGGAATATACATCATCTACATTAGCCTTGATTTCCACCTGTGTAGAATGGGAAGCATAATTTAATTTGGCTATTGGATTTATAGGGACTAAATTAAATTTTAACTCATGCAAATACTTCATGCTTAGCATGGTGTGTGAACATATGAGTGTCTATTATTAGGCATTGCAAGGAGGTGGGGCATTCTAGAGAAAGGGACAGATGCAGAGGCAAAGGAATGGGAAAACAGATGGTGTGTTTGGGAAGCGAGGGAAGATCAATCAGGGGCTAGCAGATAACGCAGGGAAGTAACCCGGGAGAACCACCTTGGAGAGGGACCTGACCTGGACTAAGGAGGTCAAATGGGAGGGAGTGTTGGCACGTGGAAATTCAGTGGGGACAGTTCCATGCCCGGAACTCTACGGCAAATCACTGCTGCCTTAGGCACACTGCTCCATCTTTGTGCAGCTTGCAACTGCCACATCTTGCCTAGAAAATGAAGAGGGCAAGCAAGGTCACTGCTGACACAAATAATAAAAAGCTGCCATCTGATTTACTTTTTTCCTATAAGGAATGGGACAGCACTGAAAAACGGGGAGGAAACATGTTGGTAAATGTAGGAAGCTTTGTGTGGGACAACGGGCTGCAGCAGGTGAAGAGACCACTGGGAAAGTACTGTGTATGTGTTTAATATGTATACAGAGATCATTAGCAAGGAATAGATAACGTAAATAAACCTACATAGCTTTGAAACAGATCTATACTACAAACACAAAACATTGTCACTGCCACCAAGTTGATTCTAACTCAAGGGACCCTATAGGGCAGAGTCGAACTGCCCCTGAGGGTTTCTGAGAGTATAAATCTTTACAGGACCAGCAAGCCTCATCGTCGCCCCTGGAGAAGCTGGTGGTTTCACACTGCTGATCTTGAGGTTAGGGGACCAACACTTAACGTGTTGTGGTACGAGGGCTCAGGCGAAGAAACAAAAATATATTGGAGGAAAATTTTACTACCAGCTAAATGATTCATTTAGCCTTACATCATCTACTTATGTAAGCTGCCTGATGATGAGCTAATTTAATAGGTGATCCTCATTTGCTATCATTTTTGGGTGTTCCAAGGACTGACTATACTCAGCAACGCTAAAAATAAATAGATGATAGATAGATAGATAGATAGATAGATAGATAGATAGATAGATAGATAGATAGATAGATAGATAGATAAAGGAGAATAGCATGTGGGAACATGGGAAACTGCACCAAGAAAAAGGCTTTGAAAGCAAACTGGCACTAGCTGCATACCACACCATGCTGGTATTTGGACTCAGGGGAACAGGAATGTAGTCAGGACACTTAACTCCTCCCCCCACCCCCACCTGTTGTTCTAGATCATAGATCTAAAGCCTTTGGGTCTTGTGATTGGAAGGTCACTTCGATCCCTAAACCTCAGGATATCAGCAGCTGCTTGGGCATTGTTTCTCCAGGTGAGACTCACACTGCATGGGAGTCAGATCTCCTTGACTCTGTATATAAAACATGAACCCTTTTTTTGTTTGTTTGCTTTTGTGTGTGTGTGTGTGTGTGTGTGTTTTATATGGACCCTTTTAAAGAAAGAATGCAGTGTCTCATGTCCTCATTGTCCTGTGTGACCCAGAAGTTTAAAAATCACTGTTAGAGAAGAAAACAGAGCTCCCCTCTAGCATTTACATAACATAGTTAACCCTAAACAGTAGGCTTTTTGTCCTGTTTCCCTCATCAAGTTGATCCGACTCATAGCGACCCCACAGGGCATAGTATAAGTGTCCTTTGGGTTTCTGTGGACAGCAAGGTTTACTGATGCCAAAAATCTCACCTCTCTCCCTTAGGCGGGTTCAAATTGCCAACCAGGTGGTTAGCATACCAATGAGTAATCTACTAAGCCATCAGTGCTCCTGGTGGGAGCAGACACAGCCTCATCTTTTTCCTGTGGGGCTTCCAACCCCTGACCTTGGAGTTAGCAGCTCAAAGTGAAGGCTGCTAGGCTACTCTGTTTGGGTCTGTTTCTTCTGACAAATCAGTACCCATGAATACTGACTAAATATCTAATCACATCACTGTGTTGCTCTTTCACAAGAAGTCAAATGCTTAGCCTTTTCAGTCACCCAGAAGCTAAGATAAGGTAACTACGAATCAAGAAATAAAACTCAAGCAGTTACAATAATACCTAAATTGTCATTGAAAGTTGTATTTAAACTAACAAGAAAGGCATTATAAATTAGGAAATGGCTTCTTGTGTTTCAGAAGCACAGTGTTAGGGGTTGAAGTCCATATTCAACATAGCCATTTGCACAAAGACAGTGCTCTATCGTTCTACTTTTATTAAGCCAGGGATTGTGGTCTTACAAGCTCGTGAACAGTCATCTGAGGTGCAAATATTCTCTCCATCCAGAGGAAAGAAGAAGCAAATCAAGACACATGGAAACAATTAGTCAACTGCACTGATGAACCGTGCAAAAAGGGATTTCCATGATTCTGAGGCCAGAA